ACCGGCCGCCGCCTCGCGCAGTGTACGGCGGCGGTGGCGACGGCGGAGGCGCGGCGGGCGGCGGCGGCGGCGGCGGTGGAGGCGGAGCGGGTTGCGCCTGCAGAGGTGTGGGACGAGCTGGCGGGGGAGACGCGCGCTGCGCTGCAGGCGAGAGTGCGGCGAGATCGCGGCGAGAGTGCGGCGAGATCGCGGCGAGATCGCGGCGAGATCGCGGCGAGATCGCGGCGAGAGTGCGGCGAGATCGCGGCGAGATCGCGGCGAGATCGCGGCGAGAGTGCGGCGAGATCGCGGCGAGAGTGCGGCGAGATCGCGGCGAGATCGCGGCGAGATCGCGGCGAGAGTGCGGCGAGATCGCGGCGAGACGCGAGATTGGCCCGAGATCGACACGAGATTGGCCCGAGATCGACACGAGATTGGCCCGATATCGACACGAGATTGGCCCGAGATCGGGACGAGCCGCGGCCGCGCTGCAGGCGGCGACGGCGGCGTCGTGGCACAGCGGGGGGCGGGCGAGCGCGGAGGCGGAGGCGGAGGCGGAGGCGGAGGCGGAGGCGGCGGCAGCAGCGGGCGAGGCGGAGGCGGCGGCAGGGTCGTGGGCGGTGGAGGCGCCGGCACCGCTCCTGCTCTCGCTGCTTCGCTGCGGCTTCGGGATGGAGGGGTTCCGGCGGGGGCAGCAGCGCGCCATACGCCGCGTCCTCGCGCGCCAGTCGACGCTCCTGGTCCTCCCAACCGGCGCCGGCAAGTCGCTCTGCTACCAGCTGCCCGCGCTGCTCTCGACGCAGGTGGGCCGTCGAAAACGGAAACAGCAGCCCGGCCGTCGAAAACAGAAACACCCGCCCGGCCCTGGAAAAAGAAACACCGCCGCGCGGCTCTCGACGCAGGTCGCGCTCGTCGTGTCTCCGCTCCTCGCCCTCATCGCCGACCAGATGGCGTCGCTGCCGCCCGCGCTGAGAGGCGTGCTCCTCTCCTCGGAGCAGCAGCCGCACGAGCGGCGCGCGACCTACGCCGCGCTGCGATGCCGCGACGCTTGCGGCGCCGCGGCCTCGCGCCTCCTCTTCGTCGCTCCGGTCTGCGGCTCGCGTGTGCGCCCCCCCAGTCGCTGAGTACTCAGTCCGTCGAGAGTCACCAGAGGAAGCTCGCAACCAGGAGCGGCTCGCGGACGCCTCCTTCCAGCACTTTCTCCGCTCGCTGCCCCCCGTCGCGGGGTGCCGCTGCGGCGCCGCCGGCGCCGCCGCGCAGGCCGCCGCCGCCGCCTCTGGCATCGGCGCCGCCGGCGCGACTTGCGTGCAGTGCGGCCGCGCCGCGCTCCCGGCTCTCGGTTTCGCGTGCGTCGATGAGGCGCACTGCCTGTCCGAGTGGAGCCACAACTTTCGGCCCGCGTACATGCACGTCGGAGCCGTGCTGCGCTCGCTCGGCGTGGACACCGTCCTCGCGATGACGGCGACGGCGACCGCGCGCACGGCGGCCTCGATCTGCTCCTCCCTCTCCCTCCCTCCGGAGGGTGTGCTGCGGGTGGACGAGCTACGCGCGAACCTCGAGGTCTAGGCCGAGATCCTCCCGCCGCCCGCGCGCGTCCAACGAATCGTGCAGCTGCTGCGCTCCGAGCTGCCGCCACCCGACGCCGCCACCGCCGCCGCCGCCGCCGCCGCCGCCTCTGGCGGCGGCGGCGCTGCCGGCGGCGCTGCCGGCGGCAGCAGCGGGAGCGGCGGCGGCCGAGGCGCTGCAATTGTCTACACGCCGACGAAGGCGGAGGCGGAGCGGACGGCCAACGCGCTGCGCTCGCACGGCTGGAAGGCGGGGAGCATTGCCAACGCCGGCCGCTCCCCCGTCGGATCTCGGGCAATCTCGGGTGAGCTCGGGGGACCTGGCGACACCATCAGGCGGAGCACTACCACTCGGGCCGCCCCCCTTCGGAGCGGCGGCGG